TGAGGACAAGTTCCCTCCTAAGCCCCCGCAGCCCGCCCAGCCTAGCACAACACAAATCACAAGATGCCCGCACAGGGGGTGTGCTTAGTCACTTCTTAATATTGTTTTTGTCGTTTTTTTCTTCTCTAGTACGTTGGTACAAAAAACACTGCTCTTCTCAGGAACTTGGGAGTTCCTGTCCCGGTGATGCAGCTCACAGCTTTGCTGAACAGCAGGGGAATGGAAGCGACAAGAACAGTTTCTATTAATAAGCTCAGGTTCACGGACTTGCTCAGGCAGATAATCCCTCCTGATATCAGATTAATGATTAAAGACTTGACTCTATGGACTTTTTTAATCTGTCACGTGTAACCAATTATGTCAACACAGTTCCTCTTGCGTAACTCTGCATGATCACACTAATTTCTAGGCAGCCATAATCCCTCTTCAGTTTAACAAACTCTGCAGCCTAAGCGACACAAACAAGACCAAGAACTCTACAGTGGAAAAAGTGTCCACATCAAGATAACTACGTTACATATAATTACATTTATTTCTACACGTGCGTCAGCCTTCGGGGTTTTAACTCTCCCAAGCAGATCAGCGCTCAAACACTGCAGCACTGTCCGGAACAACCCCTAAGAGCAACAGGATTCACAGCTCTAGCTCTAGACTTCTAAGATATTACTAAAGACAGGAAACACCACGCAGGAAGCCCAGTCTACAAGGAGACACGCGATCCACCTGACACACCATCCAAACACACAGTGCTGAGAACCCTTTCCTAGGACCAGGAATACAAATATGTCTTTCCAGGTTCTAAATTAGCTGACCACACAGTTCATTAGCTTAATCAAATTTGTCACTGGGTGAGTGTCCAGGAAGGCCTGGTGGAACAACAGAGACACTGCAGCAGCCTAGAGCACATGGCCACAAAACTGGGAAACAAAGCAAAACCACCCCCTTTTCAAACCTTGCTACCATTAAGACATAGCAACCTTGCAGCAAAAAGAAAGCAGCTGGCTGCTGTCACACGGGTTGATATATACTGAAGTCACCGCTGCCTTAAACATACAATTCACTGCAACTTGAACACAGAGGAAAAAAAACTGCACAGAACAAACTTTCTCAACTAGGATCTGGTGAATGCTACATGCACGCATCGGAAAAATACCACCTTTTGGTAAAGATGTGGCCTCAAAGCACAGGAACTTAACACACGTCTCTGAAAAGCCAGAATCTGAACTTCTTTTTTTAAAAAAAAAAAAAACACCATACAATCCATTACGTGAAAACTTCCACACAAGCCACTAACTTGGTTATTTACTTGAGCAGGAGGTTGGTTACTCAAGTTTGAACAGGAAATAAAAAAACAAACATAACAATTGCCTGTAGGCAAATACAGACTATTGACATACTGCATTTGGAGAGAGCCTTATACATGAGGGCTAAAATAATGTTCTTGCTTTCCCAACTTGCTTCCAGTATTCCTTAGCTGAAATTATTTTCCAGAGTATCACTTGGTCATTTTTGCAGAGAAAAGACTCTCAGCTCAGAGAAAGGTCTCTATGAGATGCAGGCAAGTGCCTGAAAGCCGGCAGTGCGTGTGAAGATGCACAACAGTAGCTGTGGGACAGACAGACACCCCGCTGCTGACCTCCTGGTGACTCAAAATAGCAGTTGGTTACCAGAGCTATACAGTGTTACGAGAAGTGAGCCCCTCATGCTCCACATCTCTCCTACACAGCTCATTTAGTAACTATTAAGGGTGGGGCTTTGTTGGTTTTTTAAACCAGCTACAATGTCTAGCTACAGTTTCACCTTCCTCTCAGAATATTTTACAACAAGCAAGAGGGATAAATATCATAAAAACAGACACAGTCCAGAGAAAACAGAAGAATCACCTGCTGAGGAGCACAAGGCACACAGGCAAGCGCACAGGTAAAACACCCACAGACTTCTCAGCTCCCTCACAGGTCTTCCGAGGCAGTACCATGACAAAAATCGGGCGCTGATGCTGAACTTGGCTTCCAACCTCTTCTCCATGGCCTTTGTGGGCTGCAGCGGGGTTCTGGAAACATATAAGATATGAAACACAAAACATCCACTGGCAACTGATATGTTCTTGCACAGATTCAGTTGCCATTATGAAGAGCATGGGGCATTTGCGGAGGAAAAGGAATGTCTTATCTTATCTGCTGTGACTTAGTCCAGCTGCTGCTAAGTAACTATCGATATACAATACTAAAGTGAAACCTGTAGTAGCAAAGTTTCCAGTGTTGAACCGCAGTGGGCCACCACGATGGCCTTTTCCATTATCCTTGTGATTTCCTCCTCCGCCACTTTCAGTGGCAAAATATCTTATGTTACAGTCTACCGGATTCCAAAGACGCATTTGGGAAATTGCAGCTTCAAATACACCACAGGCAACGGACAGCCAGCCACTGCCAGGAGCATGACACAGGCACTGAGAAACCCGGCACAGCTGCCTGGCGATGTCATCGCTTGCATGTTGGTGCTGGCTGGTACCAGCCAGAAACAGAGAGAGACAAGAAGACAGCAACGCTTAGAAACAGGGAGCTAAAGACCTGGTTTGCCTTGTATTTTGCTCCTCAGGGCACAAATCGCGAAAGCACTGATGCTCCTTATCAGCCTTCCTAATGCCAAAGGCGCTTTTACATCCTCATGTTACTGAAATCTAAATTAGCTCTAGGTGATGCGATATGAAACCATTAATTATTTCACAAATAATACATATTATCAGTTTTTAAAGAGTGACGATGCGCCGGTGGGCACGAGGAGTTAAACCTGCCGTTTGTGAAGAATCAAAAGGGGGTATTGTCAGAGATGTACGAGGGCACGGCTCAAACCCTCATCCTCCGTCAAACCGCCAGGGAATCCCACCCA